TGGCACTTCCTTAGAAAGCTAGAAATAGAAATACCATACGATCCAGCAATCCCACTCCTAGGAATATATCCTAGAGAAATAAGAGCCGTCACACGAATAGACATATGCACACCCATATTCATTGCAGTACTGTTCACAATAGCAAAAAGAGGGAAACAACCTAGATGCCCATCAACAGATGAATGGATAAACAATGGTACATACACACAATGGAGTATTGTGCAATGATAAAGAACAATGATGAATCTGTGAAGCATCTCATAACATGGATCAAACTGGAGGACACTATGCTGAGTGAAATAAGTCAACCACAAAAGGACAAATATTGTATGAGACCTCTACTATAAAAACTCATGTAAAAGTTTACACACAAAAAGAAACAATCTTTGTTGGTTATGAGGGATGGGAGGGGTGGGGGGGAAACTAAATAGATAATCGATAAGTGGCGACTTTGGTGAAGGGTGAGACAGAGCACAATATTGTGGAAGCCAGCACAACTTGTACAAGGAAAGGTCACGGAATTTCCATAGACACATCCAAACTCCCTGAGGGACTGAATTGCTGGGCGGAGGGCTGTGGGGACCATGGTCTCAGGGAATGTATAGCTCAATTGGCATAACACAGTTTATAAAGACAATGTTCTACATTCTACCTTGGTGAGTAACGTCTGGGGTCTTAAAAGCCTGTGAGCAGCCCCTTCAGGAGCAAGAGAGAATGAAGAGAACAGGATACAAGAAAAAGATTAGTGCAAAGGACTAATTGTCCACAGCTACTACGGCCTCCACCAGACTGAGTCCAGTACAGCTAGATGGTACCCGGCTACCACTACTGACTGCTCTGACCAGGATCACAACAGAGGGTCCTGGAGAGAGCTGGAGAAGGATGTAGATGAAAATTCTAACTCACAAAAAAAGACCAGATTTACTGGCCTGACAGACTGGAGAAACCCCAAGAGTATGGCCCCCGGACACCCTTTTACCTCAGTGGTGAAGTCACTTCCGAGGTTCACCGTTCGGCTGGGGATTGGACAGCCCCATAAAACAAAGTGGGACTAATGAGGCACAGCAGTTCAGGGACAAGGACTAGAAGGCAGAAGGGGACAGGAAAGCTGGTGACAGGGAACCCAAGGTTGAGAAGGGATAGTGTTGACATGTCGTGGGGTTGTTAACTACTGTCATAGGGCAATATGTGTACTGACTGTTTAATGAGAAACTATTTGTTCTGTAAACCTTCAACTAAGGTCCAAAAAAAAAAAAAAAAAGAACTATGTGAGATCAAATTGACAACAGCAACTCAAAGGGTTTGATGGGAAGCCTGGGGTCAGTGAGTTGAAGATAATGGTGATGGAATAATTTGGAAAAGGA